GAATCATACTAGTGGTGCATGGCATCATGCTTTAAGGCAAATTGCTGGAACTTCTCGTACTGGCAACTAGAATGTTTAAAAAAGCTTCAAGTTTTTTTGAAAACTTTGAAAAAAATAGATTTTTAAGAATTTAGAAAAATTTAATTTATTTTTATTTTTTGAATTTTTTTCACAAATGTTTAATTTTTTTTCAAAGCAATCTCTATAAAATTTAACATTTTCTGGCACGTATCTTTGAAACGGCTGAACTTGCCTTGGCCAAAAACTAATCACCACGTCTCCCAATTAATACGAATGAAATGTTTTTCGAATTATTCTAATCAGTTGATACCTGTTCACACACACACACGCACACAAATACATATTTTTTTAAGGTATGCCAAAATGTTCAGAAACCTTTGAAACATAAAGATATATAAAAAATTTCATTTTCGATTTTTTTGCGATTATTATAACTTACCCTAAAGAAAGTTAATAAAGCATCGCATATATAATTCAAAAAGTTTTTATAACTTTGGTACTGGTTTTGAACCAAATATCATTTTATATTCATGGTAAAAATACCAGTTGCAATACCTGTTTTAGAAGTGAAAAAATCATCACAAATATAAGGAACAACAATCGGCAGTAGAAAATTTGTCACAAACGCGCATAAAAACACTGAATATATAATTATTAGGCAATCATATCTCATTAACTATTGTCTAAAACTTAATATGTTAAACGATTATCACTTCCAGAACCGAAGGTGGTCCAGCCAGAAGAAGATACTTCTATGTGACCCTGCTTCGTGAGCCTGTTGCTCGTTATTTGTCGGAATACAGGCACGTGCAGCGCGGAGCGACGTGGAAGAATTCCAGGCACTGGTGCAATGGTCGAAATGCGTCCAGTATGTGAAACTTTTAATCATCTTTATATAACCGCTATTTTTTTAATCAACTACACATCGAAATGTTGACGAAAGCAATATATAAAGACTTGACACAGTTTATTACCATATTTATTTATCTACAGTTCGGGAGCTTCCGCCTTGTTATACTGGTCCCACATGGCATGGTGTGGATTTGGATAGCTTTATGGCATGCCCAAGTAATTTGGCTGCAAATCGACAAACAAGAATGTTAGCAGATTTGTCCAAGGTTGGTTGCTATAATACTTCAGCCATGTCGAAGACTGAACGGGATCATTTGATGTTGGAGAGCGCCAAACGCAATTTAGCGTCCATGGCTTATTTTGGATTGACTGAACACCAGAAGGTAACTAACTTAGATGTATAAATTTATAATATTTTACATTTTGAAAATAGAATTTTTTGTTTTTCACTAAAATTATAATCATGTGTCCTTTTATATCTTACAAACACACTTATAATTTTTATATCTATATTAACGATTAGACGGTGTATGCTCCCAATAAGGTGCCTATGCATATTATTCCAAACTTTAATGAATTTTCTACGTGATATCACTTCTGTTTTTTCTATTATCTTTAGAAAAAAACACCGTGAAGTGATTAAATGTCTATTTGAATTGATAACGAACCTACTGGGTTGTTTACTACAGCGTTTGTAGAAACCTGGAATAAGTTCCTTTGACAACATCTTATAGAACCCACGAAGCTCTGATTGATAGTCAGCAAACAAACAAGCCTAAGTTGTTAATATTAGGGTGAATTTATATTCAAACTTAACCCTTACGTTATGTTAGTGTTTTTCTCAGCAGTGATACTCAATTCGTCCAATAGCCCTACTGAACGGACTAGACAACGAAAGAGTTAATGAGTCTGGTTTTGTTATTTGCATTACATATTTTTATTTACTTTTTTAAGGTGGCACAATACGTATTTGAAGAAACGTTCAACATGCGGTTCGCCATTCCCTTCGACCAGCATAATGCCACGGTGTCCAGTGCGGCTTTGAATTCTGTCACCAGCGAACAAGCACGCAGAATTCACGAACTGAATTCATTAGATATCCAATTATACGCATTCGCTAAGAAATTGATGTTCCAAAGATTTGAAAAACTTAAGGCTAAAGATGCAAATTTTGAACAAAGGTTCGCCCATCTCGGCGAACTGGCTAATCTTCGCAGTGGAGTTACGGAATTTGATTGGGATAATAATTTAGAAGAATTGACGACGCCGTACAAGATTTTGTAGTTTTTGGAACAAAATAATATATCTGATAGATATATCATTGCTATGTAGTCATTTTGCCTCAGATAATGATGCATCATTAAATTTTGGCAATTTGTTCATAATACTTGATATATCCGAAGTCCTGTGATCAACAAAATTGTTCACTTGGTTGTATATAAAATTTTAATAATACGGTAAAGTATAATATTTTTCAAAAAAACTGGTTTTATAGTATTGTAAACTATGGAACCTAAAACAAAAATATGTCGAAATGATATATGTGGTATAAAATATTCGTTTTGATTAGTCAAGGTGAATAAAAAAAAACGTAAAAGTAAATCAAGATCTTTAATGATTGATTTATCATGTGACAACAAGACAGCTCATTGGTGTATTTGATAAAACTATTACTACAATTACTTAAGTAATCAGTCAGTAAAATATTATATACTCATATAATAGTTAGTGTAAGTGTAATAATTACCATAAAGATATATATGTGCACATATAAGCCTATAGTATTAGGTCAAAATAAACTTTTATTTTATGTTGTGAATAGAATAAAAATACCAAACAAGGCTATGTGATTATGTATTGTGAGATTATGTATGTTAATATGATTTTATAATGTTTAAGATAAGGTAAGAATATGTATGTACATTGTTTTTAGTACATGTTTTAAATTAATGGTTTAGGTTTTTAATGTGTTTGAATGAAATTGCTTGAAATATTATTCTAGATGATACATATCTAGTGAATTTATTATATAAGAGGTTTTTATGTACTTCCAGCTTATATGGCCCATGATGACTTGACAAATGCATTATACTATTCCATTCCAATTTTAACATTAATAATTTTTATATTCAGTCTAATCAAATGTACATTTTTCTACCTTTGATTTGATTCAAAGTTTTTACCCAAGTTGTATTTCCAAATCTTATATGAACAAAGATGATGTATTTTATTCAATTGATTTAATTCGTTTGAAAGTCATGCATTGTTTTACTATTATATATTGACACAGCTTTCATGTACAAGAGTTCTTAGCATAAAATTTAAACTAGGCCTGCTTATATAATAAAATTTGAAAATAAGAAACAAACATTTGTATAAAAATGTAACCAAATATTTATTATCTTACGATATTTCTAACTTATTCTAGTGTTTATCTTATAAAGCAAAAAATTCATTTTTTCAATTTGTTTTCTCTCAATTTCAATCACTATTATATGTATATCATGAAATATCTACGTTTTTTATAAACAATAATACAACATATTTTGTATACTTAAATGTAGTAACGTAACTCCAAATCTTTATTTTCTGAGCATTAAATCAATGACAATAAATTTTAAATTATTTGTAGGCAAGTAGTGCTTTATTTAAATAACACTTTTACGAAGGCCAGTTGCTTGCATTTAATAACACACACATTAATGCATCACGAGCTATACTTTTACATTTGACTTTTATGTATTTAGTGCACCCAAACTAATATTTGGAATTGATCCAAATATCAGTTTGAATCTTTAGAAATGATGCAAATGTGAGAAAAAGCAAATAAAAATATAATGTGTGACTGGTACAACCTGCTTTAATTTAAATAATACATGTCAGCAGTTTTATTTGAGTTCTAAGATTTTTTTTAAAGAAATGTTAAAATATTGATATTGAAATGTATGAAATCATGATCCAACTAGGGCTAATTTTTAATATTTTGGAGAATAAATTATTGGACGTGTATACGATATTATATATTTCATAATTCTGCAAATATGAATTTAATGGCACATTAATCACATGAATCAGGCAGGGTAACTTTGATTTTTGAAACATTTTCATAGCATAATTTTTTAATTAGTAAATAAATTTCTATTCTGTTTTTTTTTATAAAAATATTATGGAAATATTAAGCTATTAAAGAAGTATATAGCATTGCATTTAGTTTAAAATATGTTATTCTTTTGAATAGAAAGAATTTGTTTAATTAACAGCAGCTTACTGAATCATCAATTATTAGTGTACAAGAAATATGTAATAAACCAAAGATTTATACACTAATTATGAATTAAACATAAATGAGACATATAATGTATGATTTTTATTGAAATCGACATACATATAAATATATAAGAAATTGTTTGAATAATTTTAAATACAACTTTAAGTTATTTTAATATGACTTAAATTATTAATGATCTGCAATATCATAATGATGTATCAATATTTAATTTATTGTATATTGGATAATTATATCATTATGTATAGTCTATTTACAGACAATTTTTATTAAATTATTGTAATATATAAATATTAGCAAAAAACAATAGAATGATCTTTGTCTTTAAGATCCTCATTTAAGTTTCCTTTCGTTTCCTCATTTAGCAGTTCAAAATAGAAAAAATTTCAAAGTGAAAATTAATTACAAAAAACAATATCAATGAATGATTTGATCATGGTTAAAATTTAATTAAATCATAACAAAAGTAGTAATATTTTGAAAAAAAAGCTGAATGGCGAATACTTGAATGATAATACATATTTTTAAAGTAGTATTATAATGAGAGAAAAAATAATTAATATTCATTATAGATAAGGTATGGATAAGGAGGATAAGGACTTCTACTAATTCTACCAATGCCGTTTATTTTCTTATTTTCTAAATATGTATTTAATCGTTTTGTGTGCCGAAACCCTAATATTTGTATTCGTTATTATCTTGGAAGCAAACCTTTATGTTTCTTTTATCTGTGAACTACACCAACTCGCCTCGCAGTGAGAAGTTGCCTACAGGTTGTGACACATTATTATATTTTCTAGGTTGTGACATATCATGACAAGATGACATGCTTTGATAGTTTATTTTTTATTTACATTTGTATTTACCGAGAAAGAAATATAGAACGATAGAAATAATAATCTGATTTATTTTATGTATCTTTCTGTGGTGAATTAAACTCTTAAGATAAAATGAATATTGCGGATAGGAATAAAATTACCCAGCATTTAGTAGAACTAATAGAACTAACAAAATTAGACATACTGCTACCACGTTTACTGCAAAAAAGAATTTTTACTGAAAGCATGATTGACAGATTCAAGGTAATATAAATAATGAGTATTAAACAAATTATATATATGTACTGAATAAATTTTTAAAACATTTTCCTCACTGATATTATGTGATTTCTTCTTTAAGATTTGTCATTTTTATGTTATTTAGTCATATGTATTAATTTCAATTATCTTTCAGAATAAGCTGGTCACAGAAAGAGATAGAAAAAGAGACTTATATTTAGCAGTTCAAAAACGTGGTCCTACTGCATTTTCCTCACTAATAGAGGCTCTTGAAGAAACTGCTCATTTTAATTTAGCACGATTGTTGACTTCATCTGACCATGATAATAACCAAAACTCTTCGTACATTCTTAACAATCAACAAAACAATTATGAAAGAAGTTTATCTCAGACGTCTAATAGTCCAACTGAGGTTACACAACATATACATCCTTATGTTTTGCCACCAACGTCAAATAATGAGGCAATAAAAGCTAGCGCAATAGAAAATCAAGCTCAGGTTGATATGTCAGTTAATCCAATTTTAATTAAAGTAAAAAAGGCTACTCAGTTTTATGACATGATGGATACTGAAGAAACTAAATATCCAATGAGATCCAAAAAAAGAGGTGTCTACCTTATCATAAATAATATAGAGTTTGTCAATGATGTAAGATAATACAGTGAGAACATAATTGTCTTATGCTTGGCTTCTAATACTAGTTAATACTTGTCTTTTATAGTGCGAACAAAAACGACTGGGGGCTGAAATAGATCACAGAAACTTACTTGAATTATTTAAACAAATGGACTTTATTGGAGAGGATTATATGAATCTTAATATGCATGACATACAAACGGTTATAACAAAGTTTTCTTCAAATACAGAACTATTACATAAAACTGACTGTTGCATAGTTGTTGTAATGAGCCATGGAAATGATTTTAAAAGAGATGGATATATTTTCTCATATGATCATAATCCAGTATATTTATCATGGATTACTGACTGTTTTAATAACCGGCAATGCCCTTTATTACGTAATATACCTAAAATATTTATATTTCAATGTTGTAGGTATGTTGAAAAATATGCTTTATTTGAAATTATAGTGCAAAATTAACGCTTATTCTTTGGTTTATGAGTAAATGTTATAGTAATTCTTAATTTTAGGGGTGATATTTCAGATAATTCACTTAATGATGCACCTACTTCTAAATTAGCTAAATCTATGGTTGATGGAGGTTCAACTATGCGTGCTATGCCCACATGTAGTGATATGTTAATTTGTCATTCCACAATACCAGGTAATATTTTTTATTCTATATAATACAAATAAACAAATGGATATAACATTCATAGAGATATAAAAAAACAATTTAGGGTTTCAGTCCTATCGGGAGGCAGAAACTGGTACTTGGTACATTAATACAATTTGTAATATATGGGCAGAGAATGCGTGTGATACAGATGTTGAAAGTATGATGAAGCAAGTTGCTGTAAAATTCAGAAACTTTTTAACATCTGATAATAAAATTCAGACACCATATTATGAAAATATCAGTTTTAATACTTGTTATTTTCATCCAGGGTTATATATTGATGTGTAAATACCTAAACTTATTTTTAAAAGACATTTTATTAGTAGATATAACATGAACTTTATATATTTTATAATTAACTAAATGTGATTTTATACCCAGTTAATAAAAAATTGTAAATAGAAATATAATTTATATATTTTTGAACAGTTGCTACAATAAATATTTCTATGTTAATCTAAAATTTAAGTTTATGCAGGGCCTCCACGATTGATATAATCCACTTCATCTAGATCAATGTTTCGTCTTCTCCATTTTAGAGGTAGTTGCCAATCTTCAATAGCTTCTGTCGAATAAGCACTTGACATCTAAATAATAAGTGAGTAAAATTTTTTATATACAAGTACTGTCATAGAAATTAATTTCTTTCAATGAACATTTAATTGATTTACATGTATAAAAATATGGTTTCAAATATGCTATTATAAAGAACATACTAATTATACATTACTTACATTCATTGAATTGCCTTGACTTTGATTCTTTGAACCACTAGTATTATGATCAGCAGAAACTGCGGCCCCCTTTCTGAATTTTATCATAGGTATTCTAGCCTTCGCGCTTTGAAGCGCTAATGATCTTACAGATCCAAGAAGTACCATAATTGTTATTGTAACTGCAAAATAAAAAATCGAAATTAATGCTATGGTAATAAAAATACAGTAAAAATAGAAATGTTATCTTATCACTTTCATACCTCGATTTCGATTACAAATGACAGCTCGTTGACAGTGTTGAGCTGTCAAATGGTGTTATGTAAAGTAATTATAAAAATAGAATGTGATTGTAAATCGAGCCGATAAATAGTAATACAAATAGTATAATAATACTAATAATACAAAAACTTAGATGATATGGCTATAGTTATATTTTTAATTTTAGTTTCCTTTTTTTTTTTATTTAAAAAATCAGCAATGGCAACACTTCGCTAGAGATATTTTTCATTGAGGCGATTGAGACTGTTGTTTATCTAAGAATAATCATAAATGCAATTAACTTTTTATATGTCTTTTTAATTTTTTGTTATGTAACAAAATGTATTATAATTGTCTTTTTCATTTACATAGTTTATTTATATATTATTTAGGTTGTTGTTTTTCTATGGTGGCAGCGCCGGAAATGTACAAAATCGGTTACATCCGTTACCTGGCAACGAGAAGAGGTATTGAAAAAGTAAATAAACAAGGTATTTGAATACTTCACGTAATTCAAACCAATTGTTTATAATATAGATATATTATTTGAAAACATATGTATGCATAATAAATTATAAGGTGTAATTAATTATGTCTTGTCGAGTATCGTACACATGGCACCACGATTTTCCCAAGTTGGCGAAAGAAGCTGGCTTCTGTTTTAACGATCCTTCGCTACCGGGAAAATTTGATTGGGCATCTATAGGTTAGAATCTATAATTATTGTTAATATCACTTTTAAACCACTTTATTATATTTATCATGATTTATTCTTTAGGCAGTGTAGATGTGGATCGAATTTATAGAGAAAGAGATTTTGCAAGTCTTGAATATTCGCTTCAATATATTTTGGATGGCCCCATAGGAAGTCTCCTGGAATCTCGAGCATTAGACGCAGCAGTTAGTAAGCTCTTCCGAGTGTCTCAGTTAGCAATTCAGTATTTATTGTTTTGCAAACAATTTCTGGACAGAAGTGTTACTGTAATGAGGGCAACCATAAAAGAGCAACAGAAGGTATAGGTGAACAAAATTATAATAACTTTAAACAATTTATTGATATGATTCATTATCTAGATAATGAAAATATTATCAAAGCTTTGATAATGGAAATTTTAATCTAATTTCATGTGAAAGTAGCATTAGCATTCAATATACATTTAATTAATTAGATTCAGATCAGAATCCTACTAAAAACGCCATTAATTAAACATGATCATGATATGTTATATTGTATTTTATTTATATTTTGTATATGTTTTTCTAATTAATATCTTTAATAATAGCTGACTACATTAATATATTTAGATGATAAAATATATTTTGTTCATATTACTTTTCAGGAAATTACTAATCTAAAGAAGAATATAAAATCCAAAGATGACCAAATACAAAAATTACGTCAAAAGAAAATAGAGAAAGATTTTGCTCTAGAATCTGGAAGAAGTTTACCTATAATTCACTCCCATGGTTTGGATCCATCTTGCCATGTTTGTGGAAAAACATTTCTAAACATTGTCTACCTCCAGGCTCATTTGCAGAGACGTCATAAAGATGAGCAACCAGAACGAGATAGTGGTCCAGTTGTGCATCAAAATCAGGTATGTTACACATCTGATCTATTATATTTTTTATCTAATACCATATATTTCTTTTGCTAGTTAGATATCAAGTCCATGCAAAACATTACAACAAATGGTCAAACAAATGTTGCATCAGGTGAAATGCCACCATTGGCCTCTTCTTCTGCAGTGGTTATTCCTGATTCTCAACTTATAGATATTGTAAAATTGCAACTCGAGATTAAACAACTAAAGGAACGACTGGCTAATGCAGAGAAAACTCTGGTAATTCATTTGTAATTCTATTAATTTTTTAGTTTTAATTTTTGGAATACATAATTTATTTAACATTTAGATTGCGAGTGAAGAAATAGATTTATGTAAAAGAACAAGTGATAGGAAATTTCAAGACGCGAGTGTAAACACTGATCAGCCAGTTGTAGACAATAATATATTAGGCGAAGATAAATACGAACTAGAAATAAAAGATCTTAAGGAGCAATTTCTAAGAAGTATAGAAAGTCTAAAAGACAGGACATCGTGGATGGAAATTAATAGAAAAATAGAAGATCAAGAAAACCTTTGGAAAAATCGATGTGATGCTTTAGAAAATAAATTTGATCAAGATACCAAACATCTTATGCAAATCTTGAGTGACATAAAGCAAGCTAACTTACAATCCGCATCAAGTATGAAAAAGGCTCACAAGAAAAAATCCAAAACTGCATCAAAATCTTTACGCTCTAGGACTACAGAGGATTTCAGTATCGATAAGGAAAATAAATCACAAGTCAACCCACTGCAGCCTTCTATTAAATTACTTGGTTCTGATAATAACGAGCATAAATCTTCTAAAAGAAAATTACAATCAAAAATTCCAGAAAGGTTTACATTAGCATCATTGAATGAGATGGGCTTTAATAAAAACCACGAAAAGCCTGATAAAATATCTCAAATCTCTTCAAAAAAAGATACGCGTACTCCTAATATTAAAGAAAAAGAAAATAATAATTTAAATAAAATCGTAGTAGAAGCTGATATTCATGACAGAGATGAAAATGAGGGATTAGTAGAAGAAATAACCAACAACCAAGAACAATCCTTGCATGATGAATTTCTGAAAACTAAGCCTTCTACTTCAAATATACAATATAGATCGCTTTCAAGGTAGGATATTCAATATATCTAGCTAATTATAATAGTTTACATGTTGAATACAAGGAAAGGTAATATTTATTTTTATTTAAAAATTCATAGTTAATCATGATCAAATAATTTTAATTTTTTTAAGTTTGCGGGAAGCTCTGTTTGAAAATCCAGAAGAGTTAAAAATGTACAGAGATTCTTTGATTGGAGATTTGGAACAAAGACTATGGAAATTAAATGTTGATCCATCTTCTAATGAAATGTTAGATGGGGATTATCAGAAATGTATGAATATTATCGTTCATGAAAGAAAGTTGAAGAGTAAAGTAAGTGACTATAGTGTTAAATCATTTTAATGATAATATATGACATAATTATAATTATATTATATTTTGACGATCAAGGATTTAAATTTGAAGCCCTATATTTAAAATTACTTAAATGTTTCTTATCAGCAATTTACGAAACGTGGCGTAAACTGGAAGAAGTTTACCAACAGTTAGAAGAAAGAATTGATGATGAAGTAGAAAAACGCGGCTTCCCAAAAGAGATGTTAGAACTAACGTTCAGAAAAGTTGGATCACAGAATATTCCTGGTTCACGTGATGAAAAATCGTCGGTCTTCCATTTCTCCGAAAACGGGCAGAGTCAGGTCGGCCCTGAGTGCATTCAAAACGAAATCCATGGAAATTCTTCCTAACTTATTGAGAAAACATGATGTTAAAAAATCTCCCACAAAATTAAAAAGAGAATTGGATTCACAATTTAACCTATCATATGGTAACGACATATCATATTTTTCATTATTACTATAAAAAGAATCATATTCATTTTTCTATTGTAGAAGATCAGGGAATTTACTTCGACGAGCGCGAAATTAATCAAACATCATCTCCAAACACGGGCAAAACAAAAAATGTTTTAAAAAAGGATGTATTGCATCACAGTGATAGTAATATCCCTTCAGATGATGAATCACTTAAAGAACTTGGTAATGACCTGAAAAAAATTATTTTTAATAAATAATATTTATAATATAAGGCAATATTTTTTTATGAAACAGAAATGCGAGTCAAAAAGCCAATAACGTCGGTTTCGTTGGAAAAACTACTTGCTTATCCTATACTGAGACCAACACCGTTTGATTTCAATAAAAACCTCTGCAGAATACTACCACAAATCAATTGAAAAATGAAGAATCTCGCCTTCTCACCGGGTAATTCTCACTTATATATTATCAATTTGGGTTATGCACAACTCAAATGTTGGAGAAAATTTGTGCAATATATATTATTTATATAAATTTACAGGTAAAGAGGATTCTTCCTCCATCGATACCGTGAAAAATCTAACAGAAGAACAAGATGGAACCATAAGGAATATTCACCAGCCCCTATCTGTGACCAGCACCAGTCGACCGCAAATGAGTAACACTTCTTTAAAAACTGACATGGATTCCCAAAGCAATTATAAAACTAACATTGATAGTCCTGAAAATAAAAACACATTCAACGATATATGTTGAATCAATGACCGATGATGAAAGTGAAGACAAATTACATCAAAATCATTCTAAAGATGTTGAAAATTCACCATTGAAAAATATGTTTGAAGTTGGATCTGGCGATCAAAAGAGCAATAAAAAACACGTTGTTTTTGATTTGGATGCAAATACTCATAAAACACTAAGCAGTGATGGTAAAAGTCAGGACGATTCAGATTTTGATTTATCTAGGTAATATTAATGTAATTCAGTTCAAAATAACTATAAAGAGCAGCAAGTATAAATAATATAATATTTTTATTACAGCATTCAAAGTCTAGGAATAATTGAACACCAAGATGATCAGTTTACAAAGGTGATTCTTTCTATTCGAACAACATAAACATTCTAATAAAAGTTCAAATGATTTTGAATTAAATTCAGAAATAACTATAAAAGAGATTAAAGACATAGAATGTGCGCCAAGCACATCTAAAACCATACCATTGCAACACCAAGAACGAAAATGAATGTAAATGTTCAAGATGAAGTATCTTTGAGTGATTTTAGCTTTTGAATACAACGGATAGAGACAGATTCTCTATCCTGATGAATATATATGCCAAATCTGATATTATAAAACATGATAATAAATTTTGATATTTTGAAATATACTCTGTAATTTTAGTACCTTCTTTGATATATAATATATTAATATTACCAAAAACGTATCAATTCATTAATGCTGATAGTTTTGAAATTTGAAAAAGGCGCGCCATTTATTTTTTGCTGTTTTTACCATGGTAACCAGATAAAAGAGATAGCTACTAGTAACCATGATCAAATTTAAATACGTTAACAAAATGTCAACAAGCAAATTGCCAAACATTTTAAATGTCGTGGAGGTATTTATCCTCATTCTAATATTAAAAGATTG